AAAAACAACAACAACAAGAAAAACAACAACAACAACATGAAAAACAACAACAACATGAAAAACAACAACAACAACATGAACAACAACAACAACAACAACAACATGAAAAACAACAACAACAACAAGAAAAACAACAACAACAACATGAAAAACAACAACAACAACATCAACATGAAAAACAACAACAACATGAAAAACAACAACAACATGAAAAACAACAACAACAACATGAACAACAACAACAACATGAACAACAACAACAACAACATGAAAAACAACAACAACAACAAGAAAAACAACAACAACAACATGAAAAACAACAACAACAACATCAACATGAAAAACAACAACAACATGAAAAACAACAACAACATGAAAAACAACAACAACAACATGAACAACAACAACAACATGAACAACAACAACAACAACATGAAAAACAACAACAACAACATCATGAACAACAGCCTCTGGCTTCAGGACATGGGTCTGAAGGTCTGAAGGTGACCTGAGGTACGCCGGCGGCTCGGTGCTGATGGACACAGCTTTGTACTTCTCATCGTTCCCCTCAAAGATCTCCTCACATTCTGACGCCTTCAACAGAGTCACACTGGTGGCTGAGGAGAGAGAAACATCCTCAGATTAATAATCTGGATTAATAATAATCTGTCTGAACCATCAGGATTAATAATCTGTCTGAACCACCAGGATTAATAATCTGGATTAATAATCTGTCTGAACCATCAGGATGAATCCTCCTCAGATTAATAATCTGGATTAATAATCTGTCTGAACCATCAGGATTAATCCTCCTCAGATTAATAATCTGGATTAATAATCTGTCTGAACCATCAGGATTAATCCTCCTCAGATTATTAATCTGGATTAATAATAATCTGTCTGAACCACCAGGATGAATCCTCCTCAGATTAATAATCTGGATTAATAATCTGTCTGAACCATCAGGATGAATCCTCCTCAGATTATTAATCTGGATTAATAATCTGTCTGAACCATCGGGATGAATCCTCCTCAGATTATTAATCTGGATTAATAATAATCTGTCTGAACCATCAGGATGAATCCTCCTCAGATTATTAATCTGGATTAATAATCTGTCTGAACCATCAGGATTAATCCTCCTCAGATTATTAATCTGGATTAATAATCTGTGTGAACCACCAGGATGAATCCTCCTCAGATTAATAATCTGACCGTGTGATGAGGCCATGATCTTCTTCCTCTCCTCCACAGAGGCCAGCCTCCTCCATAATGACGGGTATCTTTTATAAAGAGAGCCTCTGAACATCCGCAGGTAGTTTCCCACCTGAGGACAGAAAGTTTCATTATTTAACTGTAAACATGTTTCATCAGTCAGAGAAATAAAGTTTTATTATTTAACAGTAAATATGTTTCATCAGTCAGAGA